TAATTATCAGTATTGTATCCACTTACTATAAAGGGTAATTAATAGTATTGTATCCACTTGCTATAAAGGGTAATTAATAGTATTGTATCCACTTACTATACAGGGTAATTATCAGTATTCTATCCACTTACTATACAGAGTAATTATCATTATTGTATCCATTTATTATACAGGGTAATTATCAGTATTGTATCCACTTACTATACAGGGTAATTATCAGTATTGTATCCACTTACTATAAATTAATTACCCTGTATAGTATAGTGGATACAATACTGATAATTACCCTGTATAGTAAGTGGATACAACACTGATAATTACCCCGAAAGGGTAATTATCAGTATTATATCCAATTACTATACAAGGTAATTATCAGTATTGTATCCACTTACTATACATGGTAATTATCAGTATTGTATCCGCTTACTATACAGGGTAATTATCAGTATTGTATCCACTTATTATACAGGGTAATTATCAGTATTGTACCCACTTACTATACAGGGTAATTATCAGTATTATATCCAATTACTATAAAGGGTAATTATCATTATTGTATCCACTTACTATACAGGGTAATTATGAGTATTGTATCCACTTATTATACAGGGTAATTATCAGTATTGTATCGTATTTAATTGTATCAACAGTTTCTCCATTGAACCACTCCATTGTAGTCTAGAGTTTTGATAATGTGCTTTATGACTGTTTGTTTCTTTGTTATGGATTTCGCGCAAAGCTACACGAGAGCTATCAGCGCTAGCCGTCCCTAATTTAGGCGTTTAAGATTAGAGGGAAGAGAGCTAGTCATCACCACCCACCGCCAACTCTTAGGCTACTTTTTTTACCAACGAATAATGGGATTGACCGTCACATTATAACGCCCCCACAGCTGAAAGGGCGAGCATGTTTAGTGGGAGGGGGATTCGAACCCGCGATCCTCAAATTACAAGTCGAGCGCCCTAACAACCTGGCCATGCCGGGCCTTTTTATGATTGCCAAACATGCTGATTTGGAAAGGTATATCATCAACGCCAGTAAATGATATGCGTATTGTAATGTGGTATATTAATTGATGTTTTTAATTCGTGCGTTTATTGGAAATAATTTTCTACGTATTATGTTAAACTGTTATGACATAACCTAGATTCGTTTTACTACTCCCAACCGTCTAAAAATACTAATCATTAGATGTGGTCACTGATTTCAGTTACTACACCCTGAACCACGAATAGTACAAAAATATTAGAATAATTCTCCCGTGATGTATGCATGGTTAAAAAGAAAAGGTGGCTTTGTATGTGTTATCACACCAACCACCAGATGGCGCTGTTCAAATTTCATTAGGCTTGTAGGAATTGGGAGTGGGCCGTGTTAGCGGCAAAAAATTTTTGGTAATAAATTATACAATAATATTAGATCCGTTTATGTCTTATATATGTATATGCATAGAACAGCCACCAGATGACGCAGTTCAAATTTTATTATGCTCCTTGTAGAGATAGGTAATGGGTCGCCTTGACGATTCAAGGTCTTTAGTAACATATTATGCCACATACGTCTAGAAATGATTAGCTTGCCTCATTGTTTGAGCTCATTAGCTGAAAATGGTATTGAAATAACTTTAACAACCGTAACTGAAGGAATTGTTTATTATTTGACAAATGAGAGATTTCAACCACAGCCAATGGCGGATGTAGTAACATTAATTGTTGATAATATCCATGCATAGAATATCTGCAAAAATTTCACTCTGAAACACGGTGAATTATAAGTATTCCATACTATAATAGGTCTGGCATAGCCTGGTATTTAGGGCGCTCGACTCGTAAATCTGCGGGTTGCGGGCTCGAATTATTAAGTCTGGAGCCTGGTATTTAGCGCGCTCGACTCGTAAATCTGCGGGTTGCGGGCTCGAATTATTAAGTCTGGTGCCTGGTATTTAGGGCGCTCGACTCGTAAATCTGTGGGTTGCGGGCTCGAATTATTAAGTCTGGTGAACAAAGTGAACATTCTCGCTCTTTCAGCTGTGGGGGCGTTATAAACTGAAGGTCAATCCCACTATTCATTAGTAAAAGAGTAGCCAAAGAGTTGACGGTGGGTGGTGTTCACTAATTGCCTTCTTCTAGTTTATGACTACTAAATTAGGGACGGCTAGCGCAAATATCCACGATTAGTTTTGTACGAAATTCGAAAAAACAAAACAAATAAACCTCACTATAATATATCAAGAAAACAAATAAAATTAGCATACGTTGTAAACTGACTTATATTGCCGTAATATGATTATAGAACAGATACAATGTAAACGTCAATTTATCTTTACATTTAACATAATTCGCCCTTAAGTTAAAACCACATGAACAAGCGAATATTAATTATATGGCTCAACATAATATAATTTATGGATATATTTTACATAATTACATAAGCTTCAAAGCTACCAAGCGCTTCACAGTAGAATACGGTTGAATTTAATTATGGATAAGCATGACAGTAATCAAACAGTATTAATAAATTAGCCTTGGATACTGTTTTGAATTCAAGAAAATCAAATTAAATTAAAATCAAAGTAGAGTACAGTACAGTTATTCTACGTATACTTTAGAACTCAAAAAGTGTTTCATTCACACACAGACCGGAAATAAATTGACGGTAAACAAACCACGGCATTGATTCTAGACCTATATTAACCACATCGTGACGATGTTTCAAGACCTATATTAACCACAACGTGACGATGTTTTAAGACCTATATTAACCACATCGTGACGATGATTCGAGATCTGCAGTAAATACCACGTGACGATGTTTCACGACCTATATTAACCACATGGTGACGATGTTTCAAGACCTATATTAACCACATCGTGACGATGTTTCAAGACCTATATTAACCACATCGCGACGATGTTTCAAGACCTATATTAACCACAACGTGACGATGTTTCAAGACCTATATTAACCACATTGTGACGATGTTTCAAGACCTATATTAACCACATCGTGACGATGTTTCAAGACCTATATTAACCACAACGTGACGATGATTCGAGATCTGCAGTAAATACCATGTGATGATGTTTCAAGACCTATATTAACCACATCGCGACGATGTTTCAAGACCTATATTAACCACATCGTGACGATGTTTCAAGACCTATATTAACCA